CTGATGGAACTCCAGCCCTTTCAACCCTCGGTGGATTTTCTCCAGCCTCCAAGCCATGTAAGATGTATTTAGAATTAAAATGACTTGGGGGCACTGAAAGTGTTTTCTTTATTAGAGAGCTTTTACATTTGAAAGTTGCATAGTGAAAAATGATGTTAAGGAACTGTTACTGTGTTTTCTCTGGCAGTCAACTAAAGACTGATACTTGGAAGCATGGTACTTTCAGTTACATTTAGAAACAACTTTTGACCCTCTGTTAAAACCAGTAGTTAACATGTTGTTATGTCTTTTAAAAGCATCACCAAGAGAAGTAAAAGCTGAAGAGAAATCACCAATCTCCATTAATGTGAAGACAGTCAAAAAAAGAACCTGAGGATAGACAGCAGGCTTCCAAAAGCCCTTACAATGGGTGAGTAAACTTGGGCTGGAAAATTGGCCTGAGGAATCTTTTATGTGATTACTTTTTAACACACTAAGTTTGTAACTAATATATTGTGGTTTTTTGAAGTGTAAGAAAAGACAGCAAGAGAAGTAGAAATAGCAGAAGTGCAAGTCGATCAAGGTCAAGAACACGATCACGTTCTAGATCACATACTCCAAGAAGACAGTAAGTAAATGTTTTCTTAGGAAAGCAGTCTTATTTGGAGTTTTTAAAAGTTATTGCTTTTTCTTTAAAAATTGAATATAGATTGTTTTCAAAGTTAGGTTAGAATTAGGCTTTTAATATGAGGCAAATTAGGAGAAATTAGTTTGGAGATGTTCTGGACATAAAGGATCTTAATGGCATTCTGTTATATTTTCTCCCATGTTTTTTGGAGACGTGTAGGAGCTACCCACAAAGTGCTGTGAGGGCCACAGTATCATTTGTAATGTGAAAACTTTTTTTTAATTTCTGTTAACAAATGTATTTTATTAACCCCTTATTAATAACCAGTAATCAGATTAACCAGTCAATGAATCTTCCCTAGTTAGTCTTGTAATTAGATTGTTAGCTCTTTGTGGCTCTTCACTGTCTCCTTTGAACACATGGGAGATACTTAATAAAAAGCATAGCTGTAGGAGGACATTGTAAAAATTGCTAATTACCCCCCTTGGAATATAGACACAAGAGCATATGCTTAAGATTTAATATGTTATAGGCTTGGGCATACAGAAGTCGGGTGGGGAGATTTTTTAAAAGTTCTGAATATTCACATAGCTGGTAGCTGTGTTTTGAACCTGTTAAGAGCAACCACTAGAATAATCTTTTCCCCCATAGAAACTGAACCTAAATTTCACATTTTTATTATCTAAGCTATAATAATAGGCGGAGTCGATCGGGAACATACAGCTCAAGATCAAGAAGCAGGTCCCGCAGTCACAGTGAAAGCCCTCGAAGACATCATAATCATGGTTCTCCTCACCTTAAGGCCAAGCATACCAGAGATGATTTAAAAAGTTCAAACAGACATGGTCATAAAAGGAAAAAATCTCGTTCTCGATCTCAGAGCAAGTCTCGGGATCACTCAGATGCAGCCAAGAAACACAGGCATGAAAGGGGACATCATAGGGACAGGCGTGAACGATCTCGCTCCTTTGAGAGGTCCCATAAAAGCAAGCACCACGGCGGCAGTCGCTCAGGACATGGCAGGCACAGGCGCTGACTTTATCTTCCTTGAGCCTGCATCAGTTCTTGGTTTTGCCTATCTACAGTGTGATGTATGGACTCAATCAAAACATAAAATGCAAACTGATTAGGATTTGATTTCTTGAAACCCTCTAGGTCTCTAGAACACTGAGGACATTTTCTTTTGAAAAGAACTATGTTAATTTTTTTGCACATTAAAATGCCCTAGCAGTATCTAATTAAAAACCATGGTCAGGTTCAATTGTACTTTATTATAGTTGTGTATTGTTTATTGCTATAAGAACTGGAGCGTGAATTCTGTAAAAATGTATCTTATTTTTATACAGATAAAATTGCAGACACTGTTCTATTTAAGTGGTTATTTGTTTAAATGATGGTGAATACTTTCTTAACACTGGTTTGTCTGCATGTGTAAAGATTTTTACAAGGAAATAAAATATAAATCTTGTTTTTTCTAAACTGCTTCAAATATCTTATTTAAATAAATTATTAAAAAGCAAAACTTTAATAGCAAAATGGCTCTACTGGTTTTCTGGCAAACTTACTCTTTCCGCCATTAGACGGTAGTTTGAGATTATTAAAATGCAATTCTTAACTGCATTGTGAGCTATTTTAAGTCGTCATTGTATATATGGAAAAAGTAAATGGGAGTAGCCCAACAATGTAACATTTAATGTTATATTGTAGCACTAAACTCAAAACCCGGTTTTCTCTTGAATGGTACCATAAGGTAATTTTGAGTCAGACTTAAGTACTATTTCTGAAATGAGGTGCCCTATTGAGTGAACCAAAACTTAGTAACTATTGAGCTTTAGCAGTTCTGTATAATTTAGGCATTTAATGTTAAGACTTAATGAAATCTAGGAGAATTCTGACCACAGAGAAGTGAAGTTTTGATGAAAAGCCAGAATTTGTGTCCAGATTAATGTTTTCAAGTTGCATTTAGTAATTTTTTTCATCATTTTGGAAATCAGTTTACAGATCTTCGAAGTCAAAATGTTGCATTACTTTATAATTACCTGAAGGTTTCCATTACATTTATTTTACCTACTTTATTCCGCTAGACTTGGCTCCAAGTAATTTGTTGCTGTTTCAAGAAATAAAATACACCCACAGAGAGGAAGACGTGCTGCTGCTAAGGATATTTTTTTTTTAAAGTTACAGCTTCTAAAGAGGATTCCAAAGACTTAAAATATGTTCAGTAATGGCAGGTGGTGGAGGCTGGAAAAAACAGCTTCACAAAGCAACTCCTTTGAAGGAGATAAGATTCCTTAAGATGTAATAGTGTTAGCTGTGCTGCTTAAATCAGTTACAGTTCTAACTATAAAGACTAACCAGAAACTAACAAGACCCAGCATAAGTTAGCCACTTCATGCTTGAAAGGGTAAATAGTTCATTAAGACTGTTCTTTCTACAAGATTTGTAGTATACATTGCTGAGTTATAAATTGATATTTCTGAAAAGCTAACTACTTCTAAATGCTAAACAGTTTCCTTTACAAGACAGACATTGAAGGAAGGCAAATGTCAGCAAAGGCCCTGTTAGCAAATTAATCTTGAATTTTTTTTGACTTTTTTTTTTTTAGTGACGAGGTCTTGCTATGTTGCCCAGGTTGGTTACGAACTCCTGGCATCAAGTGATCCTCCCACCTCAGCCTCCCAAGTATTAAATTATTAATAGTGTCTAAATTACTTAGGTGCCTTATCTTTGCTTTGAAATATGTGCTGTGGGTGAGGGTTGTTTTTGAAGATGGGGAGTTCCGGAGGATAAACCTGCATGTGGAATGAGGTTTATATGTTAAAAGGTGTTATTAGAGGTGGCTTTGTGGGCTAGGGAAAGATCTTTTCCAGGGTCTTGATTTTTGTCTTATCATCTGTTACAAATCAGTTTTCTAAGTTGTCAAAGGATGTTAACGTCATGCTGCCCTATGGCTATTTTAAAACTTTGTCTAAAAGTAATACTTATTTTCAAACTTACTGTGGGAAATTTCAAACACAAAGTTGTGGAATACCTATAATATCCATTTAGTATTTCCAAAAGTAATGATCAGCAAACCATACTCAATCTGTACTCCAATTCACCATTCCACCTCCCACCCTTGCTATTGGGAAGAAAATCCCCCACAAGTAAGTTTGTTCCCAAGTATTTCAATCCACAAGATTGAGGACTTTTAAAACATAACCATATAGCTTTACTGTAAAAGTTAATGCCATACTACCCCTGTCAGTATCCAGAGCACTGCCATCTCTAATTTGTTTTAATTCGTTTGTTCGAAGTCCAAATATGTTGCATTGACTTTAACCACAGGCTTCTCCGTATTTTTTACTTGGAGAAATTGGGTCATGTCCTGAAGAGTTTTTCTCCTGGGTTTGTTCACTAAGTATGCTGTCACTGAACACATTTTTCTGTCCCCTGTGTGGTAAACTGAGAGATCCTGAGGCTCAATCAGATTCAGGTTTAAATTGCTTATTTGTCTGGAATTCAGAAGCATGAACACCCACCTACTGTGTTATTTTAGAACTGAAAACTAGGCTGCTGCCTCATCCACCAGGTATTTTGCTGGGTTCTCTGTTCTTATCCATTGGTGCTTGCACTTTGCTGGCCTTTGTATCTGTGTTCCCTCTGCCTGTTCTGTCTCATGTTTTGGTTGCCCCACTATGGGAATGAAAATGTTATTTGTCCTAGGGATCCTAGTACTTTTTTTCTTCAAATGACCCACAAATTAAATCCTGATTTTTAATACAAGTCCGTTCATGTTATGGAACATTACATTTGTCCCTTGCGGTTGGCATCTTAAGTTTACAGACCAGTGAAATTCTTAACCATGTTCCTATTTTAAAACAAAGTGAACATAAAAATGACTACTTTCAGAACTGAAGTTCTAAGTTTTGCTTTAATAGCTTTTAAATATTGCCACTTATAACCCCAGTATTAACGCTATAGTCTGCATCAAAAGCTTACTTAAACATTTAGTTTTCATGAAAGGTTTCAAAAAATAATTTCATAATAACAATCATTTCTTCTGAGAGCCATTTAACTCTCCCTAAGCCGTAATAGATTATGAAGATAAGTTCCAAAATTTGCATTTTTATTTATTTATTTTTTGAGATGGAGTCTCACATTGTCGCCCAGGCTGGAGTGCAATGGCGCGATCTTGGCTTACTGCAGTCTCTGCCTCCCGGGTTCACGTGATTCTCCTGTCTCAGCCTCCCGAGTAGCTGGGATTACAGGCGCACACCACCACATTCAGCTAATTTTTTGTATTTTTGGTTGAGATGGGGTTTCATTTTGTTGGCCAGACTGGTCTCTAACTCCTGACCTCGTGATCCACCCACCTCGGCCTCCCAAAGTGCTGGGATTACAGGCGTGAGTTACCACGCCCGGCTTCATACCAAATTTTTAAAATGAAATTAAAAGTATAGCTGGTCAACACGGTGAAACCCCGTCTCTACTAAAAATACAAAAAATTAGCTGGGCATGGTGGCGCGTGCCTGTAATCCCAGCTACTCAGGAGGCTGAGGCAGGAGAATTGCCTGAACCCAGGAGGCGGAGGTTGCGGTGAGCCGAGATCGCGCCATTGCACTCCAGCCTGGGTAACAAGAGCGAAACTCCGTCCCAAAAAAAAAAAAAAAAAAAAAAAGTATAGGCATATTGAGGGTCTTATGCATGGACATATTGAAGGGTTCAAAGAGACACAGAGTGTGCTTGAGGTTTGATAAAGGCAACATCTCTTCACTATGTGAAAACTGGAAGGGAGCAGCATTCATTGTGTGGACTTTGAGCCCTTCATCCCCTTCACTCTTAGGCTGGAAGCCACAATGGGATGTTCTAACCATTTGAAAATTTCCATTTGTTCAAAGCTTGGCTTTGTAACCACTTGAACATTTCTATTACATGGAACGTGGACTTCCATGTCAGCTCTGCATTCAAATCATTCTTCCACTAAGTTGACTTGACAAGTTATTTTACTTCTTCTCTACTTGGTCCTTACAACAATTTTGGGTAGTATATGTGTTGGGCAAATAGGATTTGTTTTTACCACTGCAATTTAAACTTCATATTGGAAAGCACTTGAATACTCAGAAAAGTTTCAATTCTATGACTCTTATAAACACATTTCAAACTACAGATGTTTGAGAATGCTACTTCGATAATTCTAATATATCTTCAATAATGTATGTACCTTATAGAAAATCTTGAACAGTATAGATTTTCATAATTAAGGCATGAAAAACTGGGCTCTTTGATTCCAGGTGTCCTCTTGTCCCTTCTGCTTTTGCCATCTATGTTCAATATAATTCTAACCCAATTCTAAGTACAGAAAAAAATTTCTACCCTACCTGCTTTTATAGCTCATCAGATTTCCCTATATCAGCTATCACTTTTCTGGTAAGTGTCATCCGATTTCTGTGATGCCTTTGCCACAATCTTTTCTTTGAACAGTAGCTAAAATGATCTATTTAAAGTGTTAATCACATTGCTCTAATATATAAAGCCTTCAGTAGTTTCCCATATCACTCTATAAAATACCCCTTGCCAGCTTCTCCCATCAACCCCACTCTTTCTGTTCCTTATATATGCACATCTCTTACTGAGCCTTTATTTCGATCCTCTTTGTGTGGGGATGTTTCTGTCTCAGAGACAGTCTTTGTTCAGGTCCCCACTCTGCGGGCCTCTCCAGAGGGGTTGCTTTCACCACCTCTTCTAAAATAAGCCTTTCTAAACACGCTTATCATGTTCTATCCCTTAGCCTGCACTAACTTTTCATAATGCTTACCACTAACCGAAGTTATTTTGCTTTATCATTTAATTTCTTCCTCATTAGAATGTAAGCTTGTGAAAGAGTGGCAGGGATGTGGTTTCCTCATTATTGTATGTCCCTCACCTAATCCTGTAACGGTGTCTGTTACATATTAGGGTATGTAATAAACATTACTTGAGGAATTCATTAATTTAACATACTACCAATTCTCTGAGTGACTTTTTTAAGCCTTCATCATCATTCACACTTTCTTGTCTTTCATTTGGGCATGTCCAATCACCATTTCATGAACATCTGTGTCCCTTTTGCAAAGATAAGAGTAGGTTCCTAGAGTTCATAGGAGATGTAAACCACAGCCTGGCGGTAGCAAACTGGTGGACCCTGAGCCAAATCCTGGCCTGCACATGTGTGGGTTTTACAATGTTTGTTATAAATGAACTGGCTGTTAATATTTTTTTAATTGGAAACATTTACATTAAAAACCTAGACTTCTAGCTGCTCTTAAAAAATTAAAATACGGCTGGGCACGGTGGCTCACACCTGTAATCCTAGCACTTTGGGAGGCCGAGGTGGGTGAATCACCTGAGGTCAGAAGTTCAAGACTAGCCTGACCAACATGGTGAAACCCCATCTCTACAAAAAACATAAAATAATTAGCCAGACATGGTGGTGGGTGCCTCCATTGCTTGAGCCCGGGAGGCAGAGGTTGCAGTGAGCCGAGATTGTGCCACTGCACTCCAGCCTGCAAAACAACAAGACTCTGTCTAAAAAAAAAAAAAAATTAGGCGTGGTGGTGCATGCCGCTAATCCCAGCTACTCGGGAGGCTGAGGCATGAGAATCAATTGAACCCAGGAGGCAGAGGTTGCAGAGAGCTGAGATTATGCCATTGCACTGCAGCCTGGGTTACAGAGCAAGACTCCATCTCAAAAACAAAAAAAGTAAAAATTCAGTACATGAGATCCACAATACCTCCAGGCCACAGTTAACCAGCATCCAGTAGCCCTCTGGGTGAGGCTGCATGCTATAGAGCATGATGATTCCCTCCACTCCCTGTCAATTGTGTAACACTGAAGTGGGTTGTCAATTGGCAGGTATCATCGTGTTGATGGTATTTTCTTGAATTCTGCCCCTTTTGCTCATTGATGTTACCTACCTGGCTCTTGACACCTGATACCTCACGGAATATTCCAAGACTATGTGAATCACCAAATCTGAATGTGGCATTGTTTGAGTAGGCTCCTGGGTCGGTTAAATCAGGTTGTTTCCTGTGCCCCAAATCACTAGTGAACCACCATATAGCTAAGCCTTTTCAAACGAATTTCTCACTTAAGCAACTCTTACACTGCTGGAGCACTTAACAGAGCACATGACACATCATATCTGTACAGAGCACATGGCACATTATAAATTTCCCTGCAAGGCTCAGTTTTCCACCCTAAATTACAAAACTTAATTTTCTGCCCAAAATGATTTTCTGCCCTAGATGTGTAATTTTCATGGACCTTTTCAAACACACCAATTCACTTAAGAATTAATACAATATAGACCAACAATAAGCAATAAAGCCACATTCAGATTGATTAGTAAGGCCCTCATCCCCTAGCTGACTTCATTTTACACACACAATTGAAATGAAGAGTCTCAAATGAACTTCCAACTTATTTGAAAACAGTCAAATTGTGAAAGTCAAGTGTCTACTTGCATATAATCTGATGAGGGCTATAATGATAGGTTTCTACCTAGAGAAATAAGGGTAGGTAAAGTCTCAATGTTTAGATACATGGCACATACCTGCATATAATTAATATTCAGTTAGAAGCAAAGTGTATTTTGATTGGTTGGTTGGTTGGTTTTTGAGACAAGAGTTTCGCTCTTGTTGCCAGGCTGGAGTGTAATGGCATGATCTAGGCTCACCGCAACCTCTGCCTCTGGGTTCAAGCGATTCTCCTACCTCAGCCTCCCAAGTAGCTGGGATTATAGGCATGTGCCACCATACCCAGCTAATATTTTGTATTTTTAGTAGAGAAGGGGTTTCTTCATGTTGGTCAGGCTGGTCTGGAACTACTGACCTCAGATGATCCCTCCCACCTTGGCCTTCCAAAGTGCTAGATTACAGGTGTGACCATTGCACCCAGCCAGCCAATGTTTTAAAAAGCCAAATGACATCCAAAGTAATCCTCAGTATATTTTAGAGCCAAGCAATAGTACAACGGGTGCCAAGTTTAAAGAAGAAAGATGGACCACTGTGGCCTAGAGGGCCTTGGAAAAATTTTTAGAGGACAGGGAATGTGGAATGCACTTTGGATGGGAAGATTTTAAAGGACAAAGAGGAAGCCTGGCACAGTGGTGAGCCTGTAGACCCAGATGCTTGGGAGGCTGATGCAGGAGGATCCCTTAATCCCAGGAGTTCAAGACTGTAATGTGCTACGATTGCACCACTGCATTCCAACCTGGGCAACAGCAGCAAGACCCTGTTTCTGGAGGGTAAAAAAGGGGGGGACAAAGAGGAAGAGGCCCAAGAGATGATATTCAATGCTGACATCCTTTATTAGCTGTGTAATCTTGCACACGTTACTTAACCACTCTAAGCTTCCATGTTCCCATCAGTAATGTGTTTGTAATTAAGCCTAGTGTATTCAGATATTGTGAAGGTTAAAGGAAATAATGCATCTAATGCACTTAATGTTAGGTGTGTAAATGTCCAATAAATGTTATCATTATTAGCATCTTCAGACACTTGTGGATGCCAGACTAAGGTGTCTTGTAGACCAGAAAGCCATTGTTTTAAAAGCAGGTGACTGTATTCCTAGGATTTCCTAGGGCTGCTGTAACAAATCACCACAAACTTGGTGGCTTAAAATAAATAATTACTTCTTCACATTTCTGGGGTCTAGAAGTCTGAAATCCAGATGACCACAGGGCCATGCTCCCTCTGAAGACTCTAAGTCCCCGCTTGCTTCTTCATAGTTTCTGGTGGTTCCCAGCAATCCTTGGTGTTCTTTGGCCTGTGGCTGCATCACTCCGGGCTCTGCCTCTGTCTTCATGTGGACTTTTTCTCCGTATGTGTATGTCTTCTCTTCTAAGGATTCCAGGGCCCAGTATGGATACCCTAACCCAGCATGTCCTCATCTTAACAAACTACATCTGCAGAGGCCCTTATTTCCAAGTAAGATTACATTCTGAGGTTCTAGGTGGACATGAATTTTGGGGGGACACTAGTCAACCCTTTCCAGTGATACAAGAAAAATAATAACCTGAAGTGGACTTTTTAAGAAATTTTCATTTTGAAATAATTTCAGATTCACAAAAAAGTTGCAAAAATTGTGTGATGAATTTTTATATATCCTTCACCTAGATTCACCAGATGTTAACATTTCAACACACTTGCTTTTTCACTCTTTCTCTCTGATGTCTTTTCTGCGCTGTTTGAGAGTAAGTTGCAGTCATTGTTTCTTTACCTGTAAGCACTTCAATATATATTTCTTAAAAACAAGGACATTATCTTGCATATCCACAATATAATTACCAACGTCAGAGAATTAACATACTGACCAATACTATAATCTATGAACCAGATATGCCAATATTGCAAATACTGATCTATTGATCAAATATTGCCAATTTCCCTATTAGTGCCCTATTTTCTGGTCCAGGATCCAACCTAGAATTATACATTGTCTTTAGTCGTAATCTTTTTAGTCTCCTTTCATTGGAGTAGTTCCTCAATCTGTCTTTGCTTTCATAACCTTGACATTTTTATTTTTTAATTTATTATTATTATTATTTTTGAGACTGAGTCTCACTCTGTCACCCAGGCTAGAGTGCAGTAGCACAGTCTTGGCTCACTGCAACCTCTGCCTCCCAGATTCTCCTGCTTCAGCCTCCCCAGTAGCTGGGACTACAGGCACGTGCCACTACACCTGGCTAATTTTTGTATTTTTAATAGAGATGGGGTTTCACTATGTTGGCCAGGCTGGTCTCCAACTCCTGACCTCGTGATCTGCCCTCCTTGGCCTCCCAGAGTGCTGGGATTACAGGCCTGAGCCACCGCGTCTGGCCAACCTTCACATTTTTAAAGAGTGTAAACCAAACTTGTCCAATCCATGGCCCATGGGTCACATGCAGCCCAGGGCGGCTTTGAATGTGGCCAGACACAAATTTGTAAACTTAAACATAATACTTTTTTGGGATTCTTTTTTTTTTTTTTGCTCATCAGCTATTGTTAGCATAGTGTATTTATGTGTGGCCCAAGACAATTTTTCTTCCAATGTGGCCCAGGGAAGCCAGAAAACTGGACACCCCTGTTGTAAACTGACGATTTTGTAGAATATCTTTTAATTTGAGTTTGCCCTATGTTTCTTTGTGATTAGATTTGGGTTTTGTGTATTTGGCAGGAGAAATACAATAGAGGCCAGGGTGTGTCCTCAGTGCCTCATTAGGAGGCACACAGTGTTAATTTGCCCCAGTAACCAATGGTGTTAACTTTGATCATTGGTTAAGGTGCTGTCTGCCAGTATTCTCTATTAAAATGTTACTATTTTACATTTTGTAATTAACAAGTATCTTTTGGGAGAGATACTTTAGATCACATAAACTTTTTTTGTTTTTTATTTATTTTTTTGAGACAGTGTCTTGCTCCAGCTCCTAGGCTGAAGTGTAGTGGCACAATCTGAGCTCACTACAACCTCCGCCTCCCTGGTTCAAGCGATTCTCCTGCCTCAGCCTCCCAAGTAGCTGGGATTACACATGCCTGCCACCACATCGAGCTAATTTTTTTGTATTTTTAGTAGACATGGGGTTTTGCCATGTTGGCCAGGCTGGTCTCGAACTTCTGACCTCAGGTGATCCACCTACCTCAGCCTCCCAAAGTGCTGGGATTACAGGCGTGAGCCACTGCACCCAGCCTAGATCATACGAATAGTACTTCTTAATTAACTTCTGCCTACTAATTCTAGCATCCATTGATGATTTTTACCTGAAATAATTATTGAAAATGATTTTTAAATTTCAGCATTCACTCTACATTTATTAGTTGGAATGCCACTGTAAGAGCTTTCCCTTCTCCTTCATTTATTCATTTGTTTATATGTTTCATTATGGACTCATTCTATGAAGCTATAATCCATTACTGTCATTATTTTGTTACTCAAATTCTCCTAGATGTGGCCAATGGAAACTGCTTTAAGATAGTTCCTGTG